TTTCTAAACATTTTTAGGATCAATTAGAAAAATTGAACCAAATAGTATGGCCTGCTGTAATAGAGGAGACACAAAGACGAATTAAGGCATTAGGTGAAGAAGGCTACAAAGTTGTGGTGATGGAAGCGGCTGTGATGGTGAGGGCCAAGTGGTATAAATACTGTCACCAGCTGTGGTCAGTTATAATACCACCTAATGAGGTAAGCACAATTATTCTTTTGATTATGCACATTTTATAAATTATTTGCTATTGTAGCCAGATAGGATCCTACAAATATCTGTGGTTGAACTATAATCGTAGATGCTTTTTCTATTTATGTAAAAACTGTAGTCTCTAAGGAATTGTTCGGATAAATCCCAGCCGCCAAATTTCGTGAACGCACTACGCGGCAAACCTCCCGATACCATCCACACCATCTGGATGCTTGGCGGTCCACCACTGTACGTTTCAATAGGAGTTTTCTTTCGCGTACGACCTCTCTGTGGAATAATTTACCACCGGCGATTTTTCCGGACCGATACGACCTGGGGATCTTCAAGAAAAGAGCTTACTCCTTTCTAACCGGCAACGCACCTGCAATTCCCCTGGTGTTGCGGTTGATCATGGGCGGCGGTAGTCACTTAACATCAGGTGAGCCGCATGCTCGTTTGCCCCCTCTTCTATAAAGAAAAAACGAACAAAAAGTCTTTAGCTAAGTTAATGTTTTATTAAATACTACCTGGCTCGGCAGACGTGCTTCTACCATCTCCGGTAGGAGGCGCGTTGAGTTAGTTATACTTTGAATTCACTCCGGATTTAATAGTGATAAATTAATTTTGACCACAGAGTCACATTCTTTTTTAATCATATTTTTTATTGGCACTAAACCCACATATTAGTATAGATTTGAGTAATTTTGCTATGTAATTATGGAATTTAATAATAACCGCAGTTTTACTGTCACCTATCGGACCATAATAATAATAATGTCCCCCAGACTGAATTCCGGCCACGGCGGCCTGCCTCAACGTAGGCTAGCCGTCGGTGCAGGACAGGATTATAGTGCCCAAGTGTATGCGCAAGCACAGGTGCACTCTCTATTCTCTCACTCTCATAGTCCGATGGGACGGTAAACCGACACGACCGGAGAGAGATCAGGCGCAGGAACCAATTGGCCCGACCCGGGATTCGAACCCAGGACCTCATGATAAGCAGTCTCACTACTACAACCACTAGACCAACGAGGCAGTCAAATATCGGACCATACCATAGCCTGAGACTGTTTCTATGGGCCAGGACATCCCAATGCCTGGTCATTTCACTTAATCGCATCCAGTGCAGAGCGGCTCGAATCAACGACGGCCGAGTACTTTCTGATCGGCTTGAGGGATGCAACATCTCTTCGTTGCATCCCTTGACATATTCTATCGCAATTATCGCATCTACCACTCCGCGTCGTAGATGCGACAGAATATACCAAAAATGATAAATTTTACCATTGCTTATCGTGCGAAAAATAAATATATTGTGTGAATATGATCTCCTTCGTTCTTCAAATCGTTCAGGAGTTACACGATCGCTAACAGACGCCCATAAAGGGACATAAAAATTGAAAAATATAAATTGTGCGTTTTTGACAGGCTGTCAAGAGACTTCAAGAACGTAACAATTTATCGGAAGATGAAGCTAGAAAGCGTGTAGAAGTGCAGCCATCAAACCTGGAACAAGTGGCCGCAGCCAATATTGTGTTCAGTCCGTATTGGAGTTATGAGTACACGCAGTCACAGATCGATAAGGCCTGGGAGCATTTGCAACTATATATCAACAACGATACATCTAAATGATGTTAAAGCGTTTATTTAAGAAAATATTGTCATCAGATCATTTCTAAGATTCAAATTAATGTTGATAATTGTTAAGTGCGTTCATTTTATTACAATTTTTTTTTAGTAAATATTGCATAGTTAACTGTAAATAAGATAAATATTCTGTTAATGATTATGCATAAATATATATCGGTTCGGATATACGTGGTCGTGTATAGAGCATGCATATAGCTTAATGATCTGCTGGGCTATCAGTTATTCTTCTGGATATCTTCATTAAGGGTTCTACAACGCAAGTAAACTCTTATTGGATATGTAACATGCCGTATTTCGCTTTTTACTGCACATGTACTACCTATATAAAACACAGATATCTAATATACAAATTATAAGATAAACGATTTTTTATCCTTACATAGTACAATACACTCCACACACTATTGAAAATCTTTTGAAATCACACAAAATCCACAGCTCATTCAGTCAATCTGTCAGTAATTAATTATTGCCAAAGAATTTAATAAGATCAGCTGGGGCAAGTGTGAGATACATTAATTAAAACTATAATCTACATTTAAATACTTCTACTCTGTAAGGATTTAATATAGAGAATTCAGTTTCATAACATCAATTATTAAGTGGTTGTATGTTTGATCAAGCCTTGCTAGCTGTGCCTTTAAACAGATTTACTAAACCAGCTGTGGATGTTTCGTAAGTATATTAAGGCAATGCCAAGTGCAAAATAAAATTTAATTCAGAACGTTAACAATTTATAATAATATAATCATAATAAGCGTGACACTGTCACACTTACCCCGATTTTGGTATTAGGTGAGGTAAGTGTAACTGTATCCGTATTTCAAAGAATAGTGAATTTCAGGTCGCAGAAACATATTACTCTATATCTATAAGTACCAATATTATTCTGTATTTCTCGCCTTGTATCTGGTTTAAAATAACTTAACAATATATCGAAACACTTAATAACTTCACCTCTTAAAATTGCGCTGTCTATCGCCAGTTGAGTAGTTTTTAAAAATAACGTCTGTTGATAAAATAGTTCAAGCTATGTACTTACCTGTCAGTTTGGTCAATAGCGTAAAATTTCCTGTGTTGTTTAATAGATGGAAATAAACCAAAAACCGTGTTTATGCCGCATAATTTGCATTTGTTACACTTGCCCCACCGTCACACTTGCCTCGGGTGACTATAGAATTCTTTAACGGCAATCTACTCTATGCGAATGTTTGATCACAGACTAATGTTTGACATTGGTCTTAGAATAATAACATACGTAATACTTTCTCTGAAACATTGGCAGTATGAAACACAATAAATTACATAATTTATCGAATACAAATAGAAGTAGCTTATTGCAGTCGTTTAAACTAAGATATAAGAAATTTATTTTAAGTAGCAGTTAGATTATTGATGTTTTAATATTTAAGTTATGTCATTGCAGGCAGGACTTATGTGCCACTTTTGGATCAGACTTAGTGTTTTTAACATATAGTATATAGATGTGAAGACGCGTACGTATTCCTCAAACGATTTTTATTAACCCCTCAGTACTCTTAAAATTCTCATGCGGTCGCATGTCCGTCAAATCCCGAGCGGTCGCATGCGACCGCACTCACCCACAGCTCTTTGAACCATTAAATCTTATATTTAGAGACTACTTTTCTCTGAAGAAGTTTGGCATTATAAAATCTATAAAAAATTCTCTATATAAAAGTCAGGTTTTACTTCATTACAAAAAGGCTATTGTATTTTGATAACAAAAACAGAACATACCAAGCGAATATCGGCAGCGTGAAAACCACAATTATTTCAATATATATTACTCGAAATTATTTACGTAAAAAGATAAATTATATTCACACAAAAACTTTCATTATAATTTTGTATTAAAACACTATGCTAAAACACTAATAAACCACTAGAAAAATAAAAAAATCAACACAATAACATTCACGCGAAAATGGCGTATGATATGAACGTAGATTATAAAGAAATATAACTGTTTTTTATTGCAATCTAGAGTATAGAAAATTTCATATTAATTCTATAATGCCAAACTTCTTCATAGAAAAGAATGGTTTAAAGTGCTGTGGGTGTGCGCGGTCGAATCCGATCGCTTGAATTTTGACCGAATAGCGCCGCGGTCGAATTCGACCGCTTAGAGATTGAAGGGTTAACCTGCAAACTCGGAACCGCAATTTTGGGCAATCTTTGGGAAGTACCACGTTTGTTTTATTGACGTAACAATCAGAAATACCACAAAAATGTCCCTTTTAAGAATATTTGTTTGAATTTACCATATATTTCTTCACCAACGAGCATGTGGTAAATCGACACATAAATTGCAGTTGTCCTAAACCCTCTCAGAAATGAGGAAAGGCCTTTGCCCAGCAGTGGGACGTATATAGGCTGTAACTTTACTTTACTTTATACATAGATTTTGTCTACAGGACTAATAATTGTTTTATGCGTACGCCGACGTACATACCAGCCTACCTACCTGGGTTGAAGACAATGTGGCTTATATATTTGTCGAATAAACAGATCTAATAAACCCGACAATATAAAGCACTTTAACGCTTACTTTACTAACCATTATGATTTACTGTTAACTTTGACTTCGCAACAAAACCTAAAAACTTCGAAATAAAACCTATTTAAGTCCTAATCACAAAAAAGCTTACATTACGGTACTATAGTAATTTGTTATCTGTATTAGTACAGTCTAGATAGTATGTCCCGAGGATTAGAATTAAATTATGCTTTTATGTGTCTGCAATTTACTAAAAATAAATTGGCTACAAGTAAAACTGCATGATACCAGCCATTAGGGTGACGTAGGCGGCAGTGCCTTTTGCGATGTTACCTCGCCATAGACTTATAGAGTGTCTTCATGCGATCATCGCGATTAAAGTACTGTGGCGTCGGAACAGAGCATTGTTTAGCATAGCGTAGTTAAGATCATGGTATGCTTAAAAGATCATCCGTATAGAACAGGGATGGCGAACCTTTATGCGTATACGTGCCAATTTTCTGGAATAATATTTAATGACGTCGCAGCCGTGCCATCAAATATTCTTGACTTTGTGATCAGTGGAAAAATAATGTAAAAAAACAATATCAACTCAAAGCTCTATATTTACCAAAAATACAATTACAAGAGCAATTAAAAATTAGTGCGACTTCTGTTGTTGCAGATTGGACGATAATTGACTTATATTGGGGTTGTACGATGTTACTTTTAGCAGAATGCATGCTGAACTTGATTCATCAGTCAGTCTATTTCTAACAGAGTCTTTGATGTTATTCATCTCTGAAAACAATGACTCGCAGGCATATGTTGATGAAAATACAGTTGGAATAGCGTGAGCCAGCTTCTTTAAACAATTAAATGTTTCTGGCAACGCATTCCAGGTTTCTAAAATTTTATTATTGGCATCTTTACTTATATTACTGGTCAATCTTTCTGTTTCAATTAACTCTAATTCTTTTCTCATGTCTATGAATTTTTGTATCCAAATTGAACTAGATTGGAAATCAATCAGCTGCATTTCAAAATCTTCAATTTCCAACCAATCGAACTGGGAGAAGTTCAGTGTATGAAAGGTCGTTACATCTGGGTACATAATAAACTTGACCGTTTCTGATAATTCTTTGAACTGAGAAAATCTTGTTGAAAATTCCTTAATTGAAGAATCAATCACAGAGATAAATTCCTCAGTAATATTTTCTGCATTTGTTGTCTCATGTATATCAGATTCATTGATATATTTTTTCAAGTATGGAAAATACTTGTAGTTTTTTGCGATAATATCGTTTCTGAAAACTTGCAGTTTAGCCTCAAAGGCGCGAATGAGATCGATCATGACGATTATTGTTTTGTTTGTGCCTTGAAGCTTCACATTTAACGAATTTAAGTGTTGGCATATGTCTGTAAAAAACATCAATTTTGAAAGCCACATGACGTCCAAAAAGCTGTGGGTATTGTTCAATTTTTCCCTCATTTTGCAGAAACAGTCTGATTTCTTCCAAGCATTCAACAAATCTTTCAAGTACAGACCCACGACTCAGCCACCGAACATTATTATACATGAGTAAGCCATTATACACGGAGTTGACTGCATCCAACAAAGCGTCGAACTTTCGCTTGTTTAAAGCCTGAGCAGAGATGAGGTTGACTATTTTCGTAACTACTGCCATAACATTATCAAGAGATGTTAAACCGCTCTTAGCGCATAAGGCTTGTTGGTGAATGATGCAGTGGAATTCAAGAATCGAATGTCCTACTTCAGTTTGAAATAAACTTATGAAACCAATTTTTTTACCCACCATACTCGGAGCACCATCAGTTGTTACAGAAACAACTTTTTTTATATCAATTTCTTTTTTCAACTATCGAATTTTTAACTGCCGTACAAATATCTGCGCCCTTTGTAGTTGTTGGTAACGATTTTATCGCAATTAATTCCTCCTTAATGACGTTTCCTACGCAGTATCGAGCAAAAACAGCTAAACGTGCAGATTTTGTGACGTCAGTGCTTTCGTCGAGGCATAGCGATATAAATGAAGCAGAGTGAATGTCAAGCTTTTGTTGCTATGTAACATTTTCAGCCAATTTTAAGATTCTTTCCTTTATTGTGTTTCTGGACAAAGGAGTATCTTTGATGCGCTGAATTATCTTATTTTTATTCTCGAAATCAGCAAAAAGAGAAGGCGCGCATGCTAACCAGGCTTCCTTTAAAAACTCGCCTTCTTGAAAGGGTTTACTATGCCGAACAATGACATTTGCAGCCGTGTAACTTGCCGCACTTGTATGACTTGTATTTATTGTATTTATTGATGTTGACTGTTTGTTTCTGTCTTTCAAAGCACTCGCAATTAATTCCTTTTGCTCTGCTTCGCTTTTTTGACAAATTGATTTGTGATTTGTTTCAAAATGCCGTTTAACGGAAGATGTTCTACATACCATGGTGCCAGAACATAAAACACACACTGCTTTGTCACCTTTATTAATCACGCCGAATTTATCAGTCCACCAAGTCTGAAATTCTCTAGTATCCTTGCTATTTTGCACTTTTAGTTTCTTTGCTGAACTAGCCATATTAAATTACAGCAAATAATAACTTAAATAAACCTTAAAGTTCACTTTCACAATGAAATTTAACTATTTTTTGCGTAAACAAACAATTTGCGCGGGCACTGCGCCTCGAATGTTATTATTTACTCAAGTCAAGCCCCCGCGCTGCGTTCCCGCGCCCCGCGCCACCGCCGCATTCCCCGCGCTAGCATAGCAACTACGCCCCGCCTCCACCCCGCGTACCGGACCCGAACGCTCGCGCGCGTTTGCTTTTTCAAAGATTCATAGGTATTATGCTACATCATAATCATAATTTATACTTTTTTCTTTAAACTCGTAATCAGTGACGTGCCGAAATTATTTCGTCGCGTGCCAGCAATGGCACGCGTGCCATTGGTTCGCCATCCCTGGTATAGAAGTTGGATATAGTGTTTGACAGGCAAGGTATTGCGTTTAATAATGTGTTGTGCAATATTATTTTATAATTAAAATTGCTATCGCGTTTTTAAGAAGATGAATCAAATCTAATGTCCAAAGTATACTGCGTTACTTATGCTATAGTTGTTAAGATTTATCATTTGTTTTATAATTTTTCCTAGAATTGTTTAAAGATATTGTGTAAAGTGTTATGTATATAGAAATAAATATTTTTGATATTCAAATACTTTATTTTTCAAATGTTGTCTCTTTAGTTATCGTTAACTTTTAAATTTTAAAAGTATCAATCGGTTGGTGATCTATCGGTTGGTGATCTATCGGTTGGTGATCTATCGGTTAGTGATCTATCGGTTAGTGATCTATCGGTTGGTGATCTCCTAAATGTATGATGATAAAATAATCAACGAAGGGATACATACTAGCTAGTGGGCTCCATATTTCTCCATGTCCTTCATCTTATTATCAGTGTGACTGATGGTAGTACAGTGCTATTCTATATAATCGCAGTAGTTTGGAAACTTCAATTGCGTTTTTTAGGCCGCAGTTCGTTTTGCTTGTGCCGCGATGACATCGCCGCCTTAACGTTTTATGCTACGTTTAGATTATAGTACAAACAACTCACCGAGTTATTCGTGGACGAGTACGCGTTTACATATTTGTCTCTATTCATTGAACATAGAACTTTTAAACATGGATGACGTGTGTCTCATTGCCACGATTATGTCTAAGTATTTGATATTTATAGACTCACAAATATTTATTTGGAGGTATTGGTCGGCCCCTCACTAGATGGAGTGACGACCTGGCAAGGCATGCAGGAAATCGATGGATGCAGGTTATCATGATTTTAAAAGACCTTATTTAGTGCTCAATGTAGTATGCAAGTTTTTTCCTCTCTACCGTAATTTTGTATTTGACCGACGCCATTTTGGTTTCATAAAGAACCTAGCCTAGAACTATCGCATAAGTTTCACAAATCGACAGACACCTTATTTATTAAAATTCATCCAACCATTGGTACGCTTCAAAGGAGTAAATAATCCAACATAAGTGTACATATAGCGCAGTCGGATAACGAAGATGCCTGCAGATGCGTTCTTAGCTGAGATTTCATGCCTTTTTATCGCGGGAAAATCCTCGTGGATACCTTCGGCTGCGGGACGGCAAAAGGGTTATGCCGGACTCCTACCGGCTAAAGCCCCTCGGTAGTCACCATCAACGTATATGAGGGATCCCAGGATCCCCGATCGGGCGCTAAACTCGCTTTGCTTTAATAAAGCAAGTTCTGAGGGCAAACTTTACTACCCCCAGCACCCTTGCAGTGCTATAAAGGTGTCTCCGGACCACTTCCCAGTCAGCCTCCGCCTAAGAGGTTATATTGCTAGGCATTCGGAGCACCCGCCACGAGCGCGCGTAAACCTAGAGGCCCCGTTTCTGATATGTGATAATGGTGTTCCCATATCGTCAAGGGGAGTGCCGTGACGAACGCCTTAGCGACGTCGTCTCAGAAAAGGATCTGTCCTCTCCCAACACCTCTTAGCGGCCTCCTTCTGGACCATAACGGATTTATAGAAGGCGGCTACGGCCCTCCACGCTGAATTCTTGCTCAGCATCATCTACATCAGCATCAGTAATTCTGTCTACATACTTTCGCTTCAAACCGCATTACACGACAATGGATGCGGTGCTGTTTAGCCTCTTAGTAGGCCAGCCTCTAATAACAAGGAACTTTTTTAAACTGGTTGATATTTACGTAACCGATATGAAAGGATCTCCCTCTTTTTTTACTGAATTGAGTATTATCTGATAATATGATGTTAGAAATTAGATAGCAAATGAATAAAAATAATACCGAAATATTTTATTTTTTTAAATAATTTATGACATACCGTACCTCATCAACTAGACCATGATGTGATTGAATACAATATCACATATCATTATCTACAGTGTCGGAACAATTTTATGTCTATTAGCTAGATTGTATTTTATATTATTACGTACCTATATAAATGCGCAGAACGCAATTCGATATTCTCCACTTTATACTTTTGTCTGGTTATTGGAACTTAATCATATATTCTCCTGAGTCGTCATCAGTTATTAAAAAAAGGACATCGCCGAAGTTATGACTTGGCCACTGATATGTATTGTTATGCATTTGATAATGTTTTCAGTCCTTGGATTTGATAACATTATGGTTTTACGAGATAAGGAAGATCAAAGAATAGAAATAATTGTAAGTACCTTTTGCATGTACAGTCAAACCTGGATAAGCGAGAGTTCAAGGGAGCACAATCTCATTCTCGCTTATAGAGGTTTCTCACTAACCCGAGTTTCTCGCTAATGTAGGTAACTCGGGTTAACATGGGTAGTGTTTGTCTCTTATAGAGATACGCAGCAATAATAAGTCACAGCAAGCACGAATGTAGTAAATATGTAATACGATAAAATTAGGTGAATAATATGCACAACATATATTATGTACATAATATATATTTTTAGTTTATCACTTAATGACATTACTTTAATTTTCCGTTTTGACATGATGCAAAACAGCTCTTTTCTTCACAATTCAATAGAATAGGTACAATATTGACGAGAAAATAATACAAAAACAATGGTAGGAAGTTCCACGAAAGTTAAGAATGAGTCATAAAATAGCAGATGTTAAATTTGTTTGTTTATTGTTACTGTATGTGTGTATCTTTTGTATATGTATGTATTTTTATTGTAGCTATAGTTCCTCCTAAATAATATAAATAAATAAAGCTCGACTGTCGCTTATAGAGGTATAGATAAGTAGCAGTCTCACTTACGGAGGTCCACGAAGGAAAAAAGACTCTCTCTTACAGAGGTTTCTGTTTCTCACTAATAGAGGTTTTTGGAGCTTAAAATGACGGGTCCTGGGTATTACTCTCATTTATAGAGTTTTCTCACTTATCCAGTTCTCACTTACCCAGGTTTGACTGTATTTTAATAACCTGAGAGCCGTGGTAGCTCAGATGGTTAGCGCTCGCTGTAAATTTCACAGTACGCGAGCAAACCGGGTTCGATCCCCGCCGGCACCAATGAAATTGTTAATTGCAATTTTAAGTGCTGATTTACCACGTGCTCGGCGGTGAAGGAAAACATCGTGAGGAAACCTGCATGTCTGAGAAATAAGAAAAAAATTTCGAAAACATGTGAAGTTCGCCAACACGCATTGGGGCAGCGCGGCGCTATCGCCCTCCCAGAAATGAGAGGAGGCCTGTGCCCAGCCGTGGGACGTATATAGGCTGTAACTTTACTTTTTAATAACCTGAGTGGTCCTTCTTAACTTCCGTCATTTCTCGTTGGTATCGTAATATGATAAGTGAAATAGAGTAATAAATAATAAGTAAAAAATGTAGGATCCTATAAATTCTGGAACATTTTCTCAAAAACCGTCGAGAGACCGTAGTGTGGGAAATGCTATGATCTGTGGATAAATGTTAAACCACATGAGCAAATTACCAGAACAAAGCCCAAGGTTCCTCAGAAAGCACAATATTTATAAAATTGAAGTGGCAATCAAACCGATAGTCCATCTGATGGTAAGTGGCTACTGGAGCCCATGGATTGCTGCGACCAACCAACTTCAAATAACATTTATGCTTGTTTTGGTAGAGTTATTACATATCTGCTCAGGTCACACGGAGGAAAAAATTAAGCAATTAAATTTCTTGACCTTTCAATGGGCACACGGTCGGATCCGTCCTAAGGGACGTTTCGTCAAAATTCAAGCGGTCGGATCCGACCGCACCCACCACCAGCACTTAACCCTTAAATACTTATAAAAAATTAGAGACTACTTTTCTACGAAGAAGTTTGGCATTATATAATCTATACGAAATTTTCTATCCTATGGTCAGTCAATTACTCTATGTATTTTTTTTAATCTACTGTCAATTTACGACGTTTGCCGACCATACGAAACGTAGACAGAGAAACCTATAGACTAATGATTAGCGTGGCCTCGAATGAGAGAGGACGATAACGTAGTTTTAGGTTATACATACAATAACGGGAGATGTGATAAGGATATAGAACGACGAGTGAATGCAGGAAATAGAATAAATGGGGCTCTACACTCTATTGTGATGAGTCAAAATGTGTCGAAAAAGGCACGTATGGCAATTCACAATGCTGTGTTGGTCCCTACTTTAACGTATGGTAGTGAAAGTTGGGTATGGCAGAAGAAGCACGAGAGTAGAATGAACGTAGTAGAAATGAGGTCGTTAAGGAGTATATTAGGGCTGAATCTGAATGACAGGGTAAGAAATTGTATAATAAGAGAACAGTGTGGTTTGCAATGTTGTGACCAGGATTAAGAAAGAAATGCTTCGGTGGTTTGGTCATATGGAAAGAATGAATGAGGAAAGAGTGACAAGGAAAATTTATGTTGCAGAAGTGAATGGCAGAGTCGGGACGTCCGACGATGACGACGACGTGAAAGGGACGTCCTAGGCGAAAATTTATTTACCAAATTGGCGATTTATTAAAAACGGGCCAAATTAGGAGTACCCTTAACCGACGAGCATGTATGCGTAGGTGTATGGATGTGA